CAAACACACCCAAAAAAAAAAAAGGTTCAAGCAAGCCATAGGAAAATCATGTAGGGTTTCAATATGCCACGTGGTTGCATTTGAAATGACACATCAACAAATATGTAAAGAACATATGAACCACTGTCCGTAGGTCCAAACTAACCAAAATGATAATTAGGCAATACAATAACAAACAAGGGATTCAGCTATACATGGCATTTATTGAGCAGTCTATCTTGCGTAAAACACAAATAAGAAAAGCAGCATCCTCGTGACCGTATTACCTAATTCAGCTCCAAGTATGACAAAATTGTTTTTGTTTTCAAGTATTATCCAGAAAATTTACTCCCAACCATTATGATAATCTTAATTCTTACTTTATTCAGCTTCCAAGTGAAGCAATTAGGGATGTTTTCAACTATTAGCATTTTATCCAAAAAATATAACTCGTACCCTTTCAACATCCAATCCAATAAATGAAATCTACCTTTAAAACTAAGGATCCAGCTAGAACCAGAACTCAACTAAAGTACAATTGGTCTTAAGCATTTTTGGATAGGGAAAAATTATTCGAAGGCACATAATTTGAAACATGGACCAGCGTGCCAAACCCATATAACATCCATTATGAAAATGGGAATGAATTCTCAAAAACATCCACATTGTTTAAATCCAAAACTTTTCTCTTACAATCAGACAGAGATCTGACATTCTTTGAGTCTACTCTCTAAGGATATATTTTAAATGAAACAATAGGTCAACTGCCAATTTTCATCTATGTGCAAGCTATTTCCAATATCAGCAGCCGAATCTACCTAGTAAAACCTATTTTCAAAAGATGACAAATGCTAGGAAGTACCTCAATTTATTACCATTTTTTAAGCGCACCGTATTTCATTGACATTGCTTTCTGTTTCGCCTAGAAGATGTAGGAGCTTTGCGCGGTGTTGGCGAATAGTTGAGTTTGTAACTGACAAGTGAAAGCCCAAAAATACTAAATTTCCCGGTACCACTAAAAGCAGCTTCGGCATCGACTCGACTCTTGAAGATCACTTTTGCACGCTTGCTTTTGCTCAAAACTTCAGTCTCTGACTCGTTCAAAGGTCCATAACGGCTAAATATCTCATTCAGATTTGCTAATGAAGGAATAGATTCTAAATCCGTAAAGTTGAGGATCAGTGCTGTTGGAGAATATTTCTGGGATTTTTCATCCACGAGACCAGCTAAATTGTCTGTTTCCGAATCCAGAATGACAGCATCTCTTTCTTGTTTATTGTCCGAGACTGCACTCATACCAACAATAGCTTCAGTTTCAGCAGCAGAGGCAACCTTCGGCGTAGGGATCTTAGGTTCAAATATCATCTTCTCCTCTGGCTCACTTTGAATAATTCTGTCTGTCCAATATGAGTCCTTTATACCTTCAAATCCAGATATATCTGCAATCTCCAAATCGGACGGTAGTTTCTCCTTATGCTTCCCATCATGCTTTTGATGGTTTTGTGTATTATTGTTTTCCAAACAAGTAGAATTCCGGAACTCACAGAACATACTTACAGTTGAAGTCAATAAGCCAGACTTTTTCATGGGATCTTTTGCAGCCATGCATAGGATTGAAAAAATCTCATGTGGAGAAGGGCTCTTAGCTGGAATCAATTTCTCGCTTTGAGATTTCCCAGAACAAGCAGTCAAACCCAAAAGAACACCAGTTGCACGTTTTCCACCACTTTTACTAACAGATTGAGTAGAACTTCCATCACCAGACTTGATAGCCCTGCATACACGTTCTCCAACTCTAAGATATGAGTTAGGCTGCGACAACACTTTATCATTGGGTGGCAAAAGTCCCTTCCCTCCTTCCACATTAGAATCACCTGATATAGAATCAACGTGTTCACGTTTTACACCAGAATTGCCCATCTTCTTGCTAGCCTTCCTTCCAGATTTCTTCTCGCCATTTCGTAATCTAGAGCTGTTCAAGGAAATCAAGTCTGACGTGCATTTTTCTTTTTCATTTGGCAACTCATCGTCACTTGAGAGGTGCTTGCGCTTCCGAGTAGAACCATCTTGAGGAATTGACTTTCTCCTTTTAGATTGATGAGCAACCTTAGAACTTGGAAGTGCTCTTTCCCTCACATCAGGAGAATCCCTTTCATCACCCATAACAGTAACATAAGAATCATCCTCCATCAATTCACCAAACTCCTGTAGATCAGGAAGCTGATAGCGACCCTTCCATCGATTAAAGGCCAGCAACTGAGCTTTTGCTATCACAAATTCCAATTTATCAGTTGTACATTTTGGAGCTTCAGCCAATACCTTTAAGTACCTAACCAGTTCTGCAGGTAAAAATGTGGCTGCACTAGATAAATTGTCCCTGTCGTCTCTTCTACTTGATTCTTCCCGGATACCGGCATTTGAAACAACATGAGTCTTTATATTATTACGCGCCTCCTCTAGCAAGCATGAACATGATAGACCAAGCTCGATTCGTCTTGAAGTTTCTTGTAAGGCACGATCCACAGCATGACAAAATGCTACGGAACTGCTCTGTTTCTCCATCTGAGAGAAGTGCATACGAAATGGTTTTATCTTTGATACCTCGTTCCATGCAAATGTCTGATCTCCAAAATATGCTAACAGGTAACTGTCCTTCTTAACATACTTAATCGCATTCTCTGATGCAGCCGAAGGTTCAAATACCTGCCCAGGCCACCAGGGATGGCTCCTTACTTTGCCCCACACTAGATCCGAGACACAGTATTCTCCTTCCTTTTCTGTTATGCACTCTTCTCCAAGTGTTTTTGGCACGAGCAGACCAGGGTTCCCATCATATCCCTCAGCATTTCTAAAATTTACATCTAACACGTGTTCGCAAACCAAGTTTTCTTTTCCATTTAGACCAGATCCTTCTCCACGTGTTTTTGGTATTAGCAAACCAGGCTTCTCATTATCTCTCTCAGCATTTCTAGAATTTGCATCTGGCACCTGTTCATTAATAACCACGCTTTGTTTTTCATTAAGACCACCTCCTTCTCCACTTCTGTTAGGCACCAGGAAACCAGTCTTATCATTATATAACTCGGAATTTCTAGAATTTCCATCTGGCACCTTTTCATTAATAACCACATTTTGTTTTCCATTTAGGCCACTTTCATCATCACGCAAATCCAAATTCTGTTCACCCAATATCTTGTCAACCCCTGTCCCTTTATTGCCAATTTCATTACCAGATACAGCCTCCCAACTTAGACCAGCTCCTTCTTCGTGCAAATCCAACTTCTGCTCGTCCAATATATTGTCAAACTCAGTTCCTTTATTGCCAAATTCGTTCACAGATACAGCCTCCCCAATCACAGCACGTTTTTCATTCAAATCCACAAGAAGATTGCTCCTAGTTTCATCTCCAAAATGTTTAAAGTTTCCTTCTCCTTTTTCCATTCCAAAATTACCATCAAGCACTCTTCCAACCAACTCCATAACTTCCCAGGAGCCCTGTCCATCCTCCCCAGTCGGTCTTTCCTCAACCCTAGATTTTCTATAAGCTCCCCTAACCCTCTCTGAATTCACATCCACAATCAATTCCGCAGAAACTTCACTGACCTTATCATCCATTTTACTATCAACCCCTTCTTTTACACCCATTACCCTAATTACATCCTCCATTTGCGTTCCTCCAACTAAACCCTTGCCCTCCTCCAGAAACCTAACCCCATCAACCGAAAA